GTGTGAATGTGTGTGTGAATTGGTGGATGACTGGATATGTAAAGCGCTTTGGGGTCCTTAGGGACTAGTAAAGCGCTATATAAATACAGGCCATTTACCAATTTATCCTCCTCCTGCCAAAGGACTGATTGCATAATGTTTGTTTAACATAGTGGCCTCCTGAGGCCAGGCATGGAGTATGTTGCCCTAAGGCATTTTTATGAATAAATAAGTTAATACGTTTAAAAAAAATAATTCTAAACATATTTGTCATTAAAAAAATTAATACATGTTAAAATGTATAATTCATGCTTTAGATGTTAAAAGGAAAAGAGCTAAGATGTATTTCCGGTTCTGGTCAGGCACTTCCGGTTCAGGACAAGTACTTCCGGCAACTCGTTTTTTGCTGGGTAACTAGCTCCACATGCTAAAGGCAGTATAGAAATGTAATCAGATGCCATCTACTCTGAATTATTCAGGCTGGAAGTTTCTTTATACGATAGTTTACACAGATAGGTTTGGATATTGATGTATAGTTTGCTGAAATGAATGTTTTAGTGAGCGTTATGCACTTTATTGATGTAAACATGCTTCTACCTGTTGAGATGGAGTTTATTATCTGTCATTTCAGTTTTCCCCACATGTTCATGGAGACAATTAAACAAGCTGCAACTAATCTCCAGGGTCTTGATTTGTGGTTTAACTCAGTGTCACCAACATCCTTGTTGAAAACACTACAGGCCTTCACCCTGATTCTGGACTGTCAGGCTACAGATGACACACCAAGAGTTTTCACTCACTCAGCAGTTCATTTAGTTTATCACATGAGGACAGTTCGAAACACAAACTCATTGGTGAGGAACTTAGTAAATATCTTTCTGTTGAATTAAATAAAACATTTTTCTATGGGAAGCATGTTTGCTACAGCACTAACAATCAGCACTTTGTCTACAAACACTTCTCAGCACTAGCAGACTGTTTCTTACCTAATGAGTCCAGGCCATGCTGATGAAGGCTTTACCTTCATATTTGGACCTGGCAGATCTGCGTCTGCGAGCACCTGCAGGACAAGTCTAAAGACAACGAGAGACAAAGTCCAGACTTTAGAAGATCAACACTGATCCTTTCATTCAGGACTGAATCTGCTGAGAACATTTGAGCTTTTGTGTCAGAATAGAAACAAGAATAATTGAAAATAACCTGTTTAATGATCGTAACAGAAGAGAGATACATTTGATTGTGTGTGATGTGTTTGGTAACAAAGCTGTACCGGGACACAGTTGTTCTGTTTGGGACACACGTGGAGTTTGCAGTGCAGGAAGACTTCACCAGAGCCCCCGGTGAACTCAAACATG